GAATATGACAGTTGCTCCTTTTAGTAGATGAAGAAGATGATAGTAATGATGAAAAAGAGGAGGAGAGATTAGGGAGCCCATATGAACTGGTAATGAAGAGTCATTATTGTACAGCTGGAATATATTTCAAATTATTTTTGTCACTAGATCTACGAGTGTGAGTTTCCATATGAACCTGATCCACCCACTCAATCAGAGAGGCTCTTCAACGAGGCGGAGTATTACCTACGAGTACTAGTGAGGAGAGAGAGGAACAGATACCTTGAGATCGGAGGGGAACCGACTATAGAGAACGGGAGTCATGAAAACTCTGGACTCACAGAGTCCCCGAGACATCGTGACTTCATTAGGATAGAACTCAATGAGTTATTAATGTTTCCAGTGATACAGGAACTAACCAATAGTGTTACTGACATCAGGTAATAGTAGCTTGTACCGTATAGCAGGAAATTTTGGAGGTTAAATTTGGCAAATTTGGTGTTTTGATAGCCATTCACCAAAATAAAATCTACCATTTTGAGCCATCATGTCCATGCTCAATGGCACTTGGCCACAAATTCGCCAAATTAAGATTTGCCAATCACTAAAATTTAGCAATTCACTGAATTTAACTCCCTCCAAAATTTCTCGCTATACAGTACCTATTCAGTAATTTAAATATAGATGTACATGTACGTATGCAGTAAATTGATTAGGTAAAAAATCATTTACACATACATTGCAAATGGTAAATCAAGCAATACATTGTTAATCATTAACCAACTGGCACTGCTGAAACTAGTAGAGCTTAACCTCCAACACTTGTTTTTATACCATGGGTATTTTTCAAAAATTTGCCTGTTTTTAAAATGGCTATAACTTGAAAAGTTGAGCTTGGAATCGACTCAAAAGGCTGAGAATAGAACCAAGAGTAGATACATGTGTATTATAGTACTCTTGATAGTACACAGTGAAGGAATGGACTTATTATCTACACATGTATTAGTTTAATTTATGTACTTGTATGTAGTGAGGCACTGAGACAACATTCCAGTTTAATACTATCAGAGGATTCAATGAATGCTATATTTTATGAAGAGAGCAGCAGCGAAGAGGAGGAGGAGGAGAGAGAGGGAGCACCTCCTAGTGACACTCCAGCTGCTGTCACTGAAGAAGAAGAATCATGGGACTAGAACATAATATAATATACCATAACGTATATGTATATTATTCATAATAAGGGGTTACATGGTTAATAGTATCTGTTGAAATTTATTAAATTTCTGCTCGTTACTTCTTTATGGTCATTATCCCTTGCTGAGAGAGTGTCTTTTAAATCTCAAAATGACTCCATCTAGACCTCAGGTACTACGAGAACTGAGTTATGATTACATGAACAGGGAAATCATTTGGTTTGGGTTTTCTGAGTTTCTTTTCTCTGTGTTACCACTACTCAATCTACAATCATTAAAGAACTCTTATAATAAGATCCTTCACAGTTTGGTTGGTGATAGAGAGACAGCAGTAGCTCCTAATGTTTGTGTGTATTGTAATGGAGCACCAGTACTACCTCAAGTATCAACTTGTAGACATTTATTTTGTTATTATTGTATTGCTGCTAATGTACTAGCTTACTCTCTCGCTTTCCTTGTCCTGTATGTAATAAAAGAGTGATTCATTTCACTCATTATGATGACATTGTTTATGTTACTACAAGCAAAATATCTCATTTTATCAAAAATAATATCTAAAACAAAAACAATAGTATAAATGAATTAATAATAACTATCTCGATCAGATAATGTTTCACTTCTAATACTTTTAGCAACTCCTCTTTGTCCCATATTGTCTAGTGCTTCAACAAGTGTTTTCCATGATTTAGTTTGCTTGGTACTGTCTTCTCTTTTCAGCCAAATATGCAGACATTTTTTAAAGCGTTCTCTTAATGTTCCATATTCTTCGTCAATGTCATCGAGTGTAGATTCATCAAGTCCTAGATGACGGCCAAGTTCTTTCCAGTAGCGATCGGGGAAATAATTATTTCTTAACGTGTCAACAATGAAATCCAAGTTATTAATACCTTATGATATTTAATATTAATCATGAAAACATTGATAAGTATATCAAACTTACTCAATTCTTTTTGTCTGTTGTCATTATTAGTTTGGGGAGTTCTTGAGCCACAGTATTGTTCTCCCTATATGATACATATAGCCAAGAGTACTAATGAAATTAATATACATTAAAACACATGTTTACTTCTCCAAAAATAGAGAGATTATCATAATCGGGTTCATGAGGTAGAATATCACAGATGCGCTTCCCTCTTTTGGTTTTGGAGGATATACATATAGGGTATGTAGGATTAATATGCGAGTCTTTTTTTTTATTCCTCATGTTCTTTACACAATAAGCTGTTGTTTCTCTGGGTTTCTCAATTGGGTACTGCTTTAAACAATCTGGATCAATGACAAATTCTTCCACTTTCAGAGTTGGGCAATACTTTCTGCAAATACTTAACACATCTTTGATGATAGTTCGTCGCAATGATATCATTGACTCTTCATCACCTTCATCACATGACATTACAATCAAAACACATCGACTGTCATTGACAAGTTCTAATGATGCCACAACACCATTCTCATTACACCATTTTACTCCATTCTTCCAATAGTTACATTGGCGTGTATGATATACAGTGCCTGCAGCTTCTTCAGGTGAATGCTTGAGGGTAAGATGCAATATAAGAGAATTGAAGAACCTTTGAGAAAACAACTGATGACCCTTTATGCATTCTAAGAACCAGCCAAAGCAAAAACTATCATCATCTTGTGGTCTTGGAAGATCAACATGTGAAGGAAAAAACAAGCAAAGGACATCTTCGGGACTGATTTGATCTTTCTCCTTCAAAAGATTAGTTTGTAGCAAGAAGAGCGGGGATACAATGTGGCAGAGTCCCATACTCTCCAGAAAACTAATAATCATAATTAGATCTTCTTCTGGAAATAGACTTTTTAGAAAAGGAACTGTAATGATTCCATTTTCTTTAATTTTAGGATTTTCTTTAAATGTTTTAGGTGAGAAAATTATACCATTTACATATTTCAGAAACTTCATTTTGTTTTTAACAACCCATATTTTAGAATCTTCGGCCACATTTCTACATAGTGAAAAATCATTGTAATTTAATTTAAGATAAAGTACATCTTCATCATCGACATCTTCACAATTGAGGTAATAAATTAACCCAGTTGAATGCAAAGAAGACAATATGTTAAATATTAGTTTGGCATCAAAAGGAAGAAAGACATGATTATATTTGTTTATTTGATCATCAACTATGTCTATTAAGGTTAAAACTTCTTTTTGACTACTCTGTAATAGGTTATACATCATGTGGCAATACAATGTCAATGACCTTTTATCATTATTACGAATCACACTACAAGCATTTTGTACCTTCAAAAAAAATGAATCCAATCTCTCTCCACAAAGTTTACGACAATCCAAATATTCGATGTCACCTTCATCATTTAGTTCCAACACTATATTTCCTATGATTGTCTCTTTCTCCATATCAGAGCTTAAACAATCAACATGACTTGCAACTACAATTATATGGCAATCATATTTTGCTTTTTGTATTTCATTTCTAACAACTCCTAGCCATTGCTTAAGGTGTATCAAATAGTCACTGTTTGATACGTCAACTACAATAATGATGACAGCACCTGCTCCTTCTAAAATATTCTCTATAACTGCAGTATGACTTAAATGGTATTCTGAGTGGCCAGCAAAGTCATGAAGAACAATATTTCTAAGTTGTTTGTGATCAAGCTTAATGGGAACTATGCCTGCAGTAAGTGGCTCAACTTCATTAGGACAAACATCAATTGTTTCTTTGTAAGAGTCATCTGTAGTTTTTTCAATGACCTTACCGAGCGTGCTTTTACCAGCTCCACTGTTTCCCACTATCATAATGTTTACGTATGAATCAACAGGATACATTGTTTTTGTTGTTCCAAAAGTGTCAAATATATCCTTTGTCATCCAACCCCTGCTAGTAGCAATATCCAATGCAGTGTCACCTTTTTCATCTTTTATTAATGGATCAAGACCAGTAGCAAGAAGGCATTGAAGAACAAACAATTTGTTCTCAGTATATTCACCTTCTGCAGCATAATGTAACAATGTTCTTCCTTTGTTATCTATGCTTTTTACATTGACCTGACATTCATTAATCAAAAACTCCACTGCTTGAATGTTGTGATTACGAGTTGCCTGAAACAATTGATCACATAGATCTGTATCTTTCCCCCATTTTTCCACAAGATATTTGACAGCATCAATGTGTTGTCCTTTAATGGCATTTGCAAGGGAAACATTGTAATCTGGATTTTTATCACTTTTTTTACTCAAAAATTGTAATATTTCAAGGCTTCCAGCATGCCAAAGTGCAGGCTCAGGATTACAATTACATTCTACAACAAAATATTTAACTAGCTCAATATGTCCATTCTCTGCTGCATATTGAAGGGAAGATAAACCTTTTGCTGTATCATGTACATTGCAATGACACTCTGAAATTAAATAGCGGACTATGTAAATGTGCCCTTTCTCTGATGCATGGTGAAGAGGCTTCATGCTGTACCAATCCTTTTCTTGACTAGGATCACACTTGTGCTCTAATATCAAATACTTTACCATGCCATAATTCCCAGATCTTGCTGCAAAATCAAGAGCTGAATTATTTTCTGAACACATTTTGTTAGCATCAAATTTGCATTCCTCTATGAGATATTTTAATATGTGAAGTCGGCCATACTCTGCAGCAAGAATTCCAAGGGGCTTACCATTGCAAATAGTATTACCATCATAACCTAATGATGTTATGTAATACTTGATAATAGATACATCAAAGCTTCCACATTTTATTGCCATAAAAAGTGGAGTTTCATCAGCTGCATTTTTATGAAGAGGATTACAATGATATTTTGTGACCAATAATTCAAAAGCTTCAAACTCATATTCTTTTACAGCATAATAAACAGCTGTTTCACCATTGAAATCTGTAGACATTGGATCAAAGCCATGGTCATCAATCAGCTTTTCAATTATATCAATCCATCCCCAATGTGCAGCCCAATGCAGCAGGTTTGGTTTATAAACATCTGAACTAGTTATGGTCTTTAAATATGCACTGTCAGTACAACTGAGTAAAGACGATAATGCTAAGTCATGATTGCCTTTCATAAAATTACGAACTAGGACATCACGATTTAATCTAGGATTATTGTTTGGATTTTTACGTCTTACTTTTTGTTCGTTATTAACTTTGGTGGACTTTGAATTTTCTTTAAGAAGTTTCAGAACAAAGGAAAATTGTTCACTAAACTGTTGCAAAGCCATTATGCTACTCTGTGTATCATTGTCACCTGAAAGATTTGTGATCATTTCACTAACAGATTCTAAACCTTCCTCTAACATTTTCTTAATCAAGGCATAAGTCAGGTTTGGTGGTAATTGCACACATGGAAAAGGTAGTGAATGTAATACTTCATCAGTAGAGAAAATGGCACTTAATGACTTTGTGCATTCTTCATCATCATCATCCAATGTATTTGATCCTGTATAATAGCAACAATAAATACCTGATTCAAAAAGATTCTAATTACCATAAACAAGACTGCTCTTGCCATAGGTTGAGTCAGTTTTGTAGTCACATTCTTTTTCATTTTCTCTTGACTGCTGTTCACCTAAAAGAAATGTTGAATGAAACAAGAATCATAGTTAGCATTTAGATCTACTTTGTAACTTGTCCTTTAGTTTAAAAACAATATCATTTAATCCTACATCTTTCAATGATTGAATTAAAGAATTAAGGCAGCCAGGATTGCTTTTAACCTTTGCTAGTACCGGAGTCAGCATACTATTACATCTTTCATAAGGATTCTTAGGAATTTGAGCTGTATTATATTCTCCTCTAGTAATGAGGCCAGATGATAATAGATGAGTATTGAGCTGAGGAATAACATCAGCATGGTCAGCTAAATTGTCAACAAGAGTACTGAGCATTTTTTCCAGTGTAACATATTCTGGTGATGATGAATCTGATGCTGTAGCCATTGCACCTCATATGATACTGCTCTTGTGTTGTCTTCAGTGATGGGCCAGTGGTGGTGTTTACAGTTGACCAGCACAGAGTATGTTTACGGCGTTATGGAACTATTTCTGCTGAGAAGAATCTATTAATAGTAACAAATCTCCCATCTATTAATAGCATCTGCCAAATGCCAATATTTACTAAATAAGGTAAGAGGATGAGAAACATTGGCTAAACTCTAATGTGTTTTCATAAGCTCACTATTTCCCATAATGCCCCATAAATGTTATCAAATCAAGCTATTGTGTTTATATGTACAATCTTTGCTTTAAAATTCCTTATGAGGAAGTTACAAGCTTAAAATTTATATGCCATTCACTAACTTTTATATTAAACTAAATTATAGATGTTCTCAAACTGGGCATGTCTTTTTTATGAACTAGAGCGATTTCTAGCCTAGGAAGTCATTTGACCTGCCTTTAATAATACCACCACTCCTAGAGTCAGCCATTCTATCAAAAATGATGTACCTTTACATGATACATCATTATACACCACTCCAGAGTCCAGATACAGCACAACAAGGTTTGTTTATGAATTTTGTTGGTCACGTGCTTTCACGTGTAGATTTAATAGATCTAGACTAATACCTTATTTTCCGTAATCTTTCAGTTTCATAAGGAAAATGGATGATTTGGAGGACACCTCTGCTGCTGCTGCTATCTTATTCAGGCCACCTGTATACCAGCAACGTTATGGAGCCGTACTGGAACTATCTAGAAAAATAGAACCAAAGAAAGTAAATATAGTAATCTACTATGAACTTAAAGCAGAGTTATTTTTTAATTATTTGAAAATTTAAGATCCTTCCCATTTTCAATGCCGACAGGTAATTGACATGGGCTGTGCTGAATGCAAGCTTCTCAAATCATTAAAGTTCCACAGACACATTGAATCACTTATCGGTATTGATATAAATGAGTCTTTACTTCAATCAAATCAGACTCACTCCAACCACTCATCACTGATTATCTACATAGACGCAGTAGACCATTGAAAATACAATTATTTAAAGGTAATAAAGAGAGCACAATTAATTTATGAAGATCAGCCTGTTAGGTACAAATGCATGGCCTTTATATACAGAATCGTAGCCTTCCATCATTTTATTCATACTTATGTATTTCATCATTCCATGCATTCTTATTGATTAGTGGGAAAAGGCAATAATTGTTTATTGTTTTTGTTTGACATTTATTTAGTTGTGGTTATTATTATTATTATTATTATTATTATTATTATTATTATTATTATTATTATTATTATTATTATTATTATGAGAGAGAGAAGGAGAGATGTGGGAAAAGGGGGAGAAACCCATAATCACAAAAATGGAAAGGAGAGAAGAAACAAAAGAAGAATAAAGACGAGAGAGAAAGACATGAGAGAGAGAGAAAAGTTAAATCAGCCCATCCACAGAGGGCAGGACAGGTAGAGTCCTATTCAGCCACATCTGAGCATTAAAACGCCAGAGTGTAACTGAGAGCCTCTGGAGGAGATGGCGAGAAACATCCTGGGGAGGAAGACCAATCCTGGTGCCTAGGTGGTGACCAATCATCCAG